AGAGAGAGAGAGAGAAAACAGAAAGGACGAGAGGAGAGGTAGCGATGAAAGTAAAAGGGCAACGGGGGCAGACAGGAGAAGGAAAGGGTAGGGGAGCAGGGTATGGGATTTATTGAAGACATGAAGAGAGATTGTAAAGGAGGGTGAGACAGAAAAGGGAAGGAAGAAGAGAAAGCCATACGACAAAGATGAGGACAAACAAGGAGGAGAAAAATGTAAACGCATAAGCAACTGGTGTACAGAAAGGCCTCGTCCTTCAAAGGCCTACATTTCTTATCTGGAAATATGCTCTCTTGCATTTATGAGTATTGTTCCGAAAGAAATGCTTCACGTTAACGTCTCTCCACTCACCGCCTGCGAGGCCATCATCTCGTTGATGCTCTGCTCATATTGCTCAGCCAGGATGGCCAGCTTGCGTGTCTGCTCATCCTTCAGGGCCTTGAGCACCGTCTTGTGCTCGGCCTTGGGCGTCACTTCCATCTGGTGGTGGCGCAGGGCCTTGTACTGCTTGGTCTGCACCTTACACGTGTCCTGGAACTGCTTCTTGATCTGCAGCTCCAAAGCCTGGTGGAGGGGACGGACGTAGACAGTTTCATTTGAAGCCTTAAGAAATCTGCTGCTTAAGGTTAAAGGTTTAAAATAGCCTGGGGCAAAAATCCGAGTTCTAGTCTTTGTTATCCTCAAAAGCAAATCAAACTAAAATGACATTCAGAGATGACGTGTTCTTTCACCATTTTTCCAAATTAATTTGTTACATCCATCTTGCATCACTGTTTTATCACAATCTTCCTAAAACCTAAAAGATGTTGCTCATGGCTTGCGCCATCTTAGAGGTGGAGCCACTTCATCTTTTCAAATGAATCTGGAAACAGCCCTACATTACAACACCTGTGTTCTCATGACAATAACCACCACATCTAGAAAATCCCAGGTCACAAACTCACTTTGAGGTTTTTGGGCTGCTGCCGGAGCTCCAGCACATGCTTGCGGTGGAGTTCACGCTCGCGTCGGTTGTTGTACTCTATCTGGTTCTCCAGCTCTGTCTGGTGCTGTAGGCGAATCAGGTCCATCCGCAGCTTTTGCAGAGTCTTCAGCTGCCTGTGCTCCAGTTCCTGCATGGACTCGTCGTGGCGGATCAGCATGGCGTGCTCCATCTCTTTCTGGGTCTTCTTTTTGTTCAGTTCCTGGGAGGAAATACGGCAGAAGAGGGAGAAAAGAAGAGGAAGGATGCATGGATGACTTGCAGTAGCCTGGTGCATTGTTTGTTCAGCTTGCTTTCAATGTGACATTTTCATATGTAGAAATCAATTTCCCTCCTTGTTTCTTTCAGGCTTAGAACATTATCAACAGCTGGAAAGTCAATAAATATTACCCATTTAATCTTTCCCATTATTTTTTATCATTCATCACTTCCTTTTTCTATGAACTAAAACATTAAAACTATCATCTAAAACTTGACACAGTTTTGAGTATTTTCCCACAGAAAGCTTTTGGACCTTCTGAAACTTTACACAACAGCTTTGCAGATTATGACATTGTTGACTTGCTTTACTCTGTAATAAGCTTCTTAGAGAAAAACCTCCCAGATCTAAAGGACAATGGGCGTAATTATTAAGGACACACTGCTGTTTGCGGAGAAAAAATATTTTGGTTTTCTAATCACACTGGGCCTGTTCACGCCAACATCACAAACAACAACTAATAAAATGGGTTTTACTTCAATTCAAACTCTTAAACTGGACATATATAGCTTGGTGAACTTGAGTTGTACATTTAACAATTAAATGAACAACCAAGTCCATATTTAATTTATGAATTATTTAATCGCACATGATGTATGTCCTTCCACACCTCTCGGATCTGTTCCTGCTCCAAGTCGTGCCTCTTAATCATGACTTTGCGCTTGAAGGCGCGGCAGTTCCTGTCGTAGAATACCCTCTGCTGGGCCAGAAGATGGGCCTCCTCCTCGGCCTGGGAATGCTGCATGTTCTCTTTGTGCTTGGACAGACGCTCCTGCTTCTCCTTCTTGGGTGTGCTATGGTCCTCATTCATCTCCTGAGAAGGGAGCAGAGGAATTGTATGAGGTACAGGGCAAAGTAGTTTTATTGAACATGACTGGTACATTTTTGGGTGGGTAAGCTTCATTTATCAATGTGAATATCAGTTTAACTGTTAAAATAAAGGAAATAGCTGGTAGGTTTGGGACTATCCATTACAGGCAGTGGATGAGGAACTATCTAGCGTGAGATATTATTCTAAACCAGTGGATGTGTGTCTAAAGAAGAAGAAAATGTCCAAACTATGTCTTACATATGCATGTTTTGAATGTGAATAAAAACAAAGCCTCCATAAATAGTGCCTAAATAAAGAACAGTGTGCACTGCAAACTCCAGTTGACCTTCTATCTCAATCTACTGATGACTTTCAGAGTCAGAGGAGGGTTGTAGAAAGAAATTGCAGCCAAATCTATCTCTCCTCAGTATGAGTTCTCTTTCTCTTTCATGGGCTTTAAGGTAATCTACAACTCAAGCTAATGCACTTAACACATGAGCCTGATCCCCGCTCTCTGTGGTGTCTAATTCCGTTATAGCCCTCAGTTGGTGGGAAATATCTCTCCCTGCCAGCGATTCTTTCTTTTAACTGTGCTGACCTAATTTTGGTCACTTATCTTGTCACTGAAAACAGTGTATCATACTTCCAGCCCACAGGAGTATACTCTGGACTCGGTTTTTGAGGCACACACGAATGCACACTGTGCGTATAGATTTGTGGTTTTTCTTTGTTTGTGTGTGTGTGTGTGTATATAGATGTGTAGGAACATAGTGAGTAGGCTGAGTGACTCAACACAACTTCCAAAAGACCACTTTGGAGGTACTGTTTGTGTGGAGGAGGGCTGATTCAACAGTAAACATCATACAGGACCATGTGTCACATACGAGAGAGGCGTACAAAGGAGTTCGCCTGAGGAGGAATAAGGAAACCAACGAATGCGGCTCACCTCCTTAATCTTCTCCTTACAGAGTTTGTACTGCTTCTTTTGATTATCCAGAAAGGTGGTCAGCTCCTTCTTCTGCTGGGCCACGATCTGCTGCTGGAACTTCTTCTCATCTGCCAACGCCGTCTTCAGCTGGGGGACACATAAAACAGCCACAGTGAACAAATAAAGTCATATTCTAACTTGGGTTGTGCTACCACCTAATACATACAGTATGTCAAGTTAAATGTTAAGATTAATCTAACACTCTGTTCACAGCCTGTCCAATGTGAGGATTTGTTGTTTTCCTGTTTTATTATCACTGTAAAATAAATATTTTTTGGATTTGGACTGTTGGTTGGACAAAACAAGACATATAAAGACATCACCATGAGCTTGTGGAAACTATAACAGGCAACAACATTTATAAACATTTTATCAACAAAATTAATCAAGGAGAAGATCTGCAGATTAATTGACAATAATTGTTGGCTTCAGCCCTAAATCTCATGTGGGATAACGTTTGATATGTTTGAAGATGTATATTAAATTATAGCAGGACCAGTTCAAGACACTGGTCTGATTGGTTGGTTCAACTTTGTATGTTATTGGCTGCAATAGCAAATGTCAGTTTAAAGACATTTAAAGAAAATTGTATTTATTATTATTATAGAACATATTATTATATTTATATCATTATTTGAGCAAATTTAGGTTGGTAGGAGATTAATATGTATTTATTGTCCAGCCCTAATACAGAGGTTTTCAAAAAAGAAAAGACTTCACTCAAAAAGAGCTCACAGTGTTGTAGGTACTTTAGATACATCTGGCAAAAATGGCAGATTTAAAAAAAAAAAAAAAAAAAAATGGTGATGAAAGCCAATATCTAGTGACATATTGGTTTAGCTGAGTGACATGTCACTCACATGTGACATGTGACATTGTGTGTTTATGTTGCGGTTTAGGGGTGCATGCTAGTCTACTGTATATGAAGAGATATACTATCTCTCTGGCTGGTCCGGCACGCTGTGTGCTAATCACAGAGATATGCAGCTTGTTTTTCCAGAGCGTGACATTCTGTGACCCACTTCTGCCCTTGTGTTTCATCTTATGTATCATTGGGTGGCAGCAGTGTGTTAAGTCTAAAACTTAAGTCAATGTAAGGACTAAAGTTGGAACTTAAATGGTCCAAAACAATAACATTTTTGAACAGAGTTAAACTTTTTGACAGACTTTCTTCCACCAGTTCAACACATCCTCTGTTTTTCCAAAGCAGACACTATCCCCCAGCCACCTGTTGCATGGTACATGTAGGTCTCTGTGATCATCTGTGAAATAACTTAGGGGTCACTGTACTTGTGCATCCACTCATGTCCCCCCCCCCTCCAAACACAAACACACACACACACACACACACACACACTCCCACCTCTTCTCGGGGTGTGCACCGGTGCTGCGATTTAGCAACGCTTCTCCAGCCTCGATTGTAGGCGTTGGTTGGCCTGCGGTCTCCACCTCCTTCTGCCAGCTATGAAGCCGCGTGCTTCGTTCCATCTCGGCCTTCAGGCTTGTTCTCCAGGGCGATCAGCCTGCTTCTTTGGTTGCTGCCGCCGCATGCGCTTGTAGCCCGACATCTGCTCTCGCAGCTCGCTCTCCTGCTCATGCTCGTGGATCTGCTTGGTCACCTGTGCAGAAAGAAAAGTTAGGAGATGTGACCGCTGTGATATGTGATTTGCATTCAGACAGCAATGCTTAATGTCACCTATGCTTAAAAATGTAAACATACAGTACTGATTTATCTGGGATATCTTTTCCAAGAATAACTGAAAACAGAATTCAAACCTGTAAAACATTTCAATTCAACTGCTGCAATCAGTCAGCAACACTTTTACAACAGTTTTTCAGGCAAAAAGAAGTTTCAACCTGTAATGGGAAATTAAGA